AATGTATATGAAATCCACCAAATGTTAAGTAGCCGGCTAACTAAATTTTCTACACTGATACAACGGGAAATTTTTCTTGAAATAGGCGAACAACTTCGAAGTGTGTTCCTGTTTTATCTCCGTAACCAATCATTTGTGTAATTATTTTATGCATTTAAATAAACCATGTTTCTGATCTGTAGTTAATAAATTCAAATGATACGTATCTACAACACTGACAGCAATTAATGTCATGCGGTTACAATCACACAGCAAGTTGCTAAGGCGTTTTAAACGAATTAAGAGTGCCCAACTATGAAGAGTGTTGATAACTTCTTGTCTTTTTTATGTTTGGTAATTCCATCGAAAAAGGCCATTGAAATTGTTTTTTCTTGCTTTCTCATTATCAAGAACGATACTCTATTAGTTATTAATTGTTTAGCAAGTTGGTAGCGAATTTCGTCGATCAGATGAATTAATTTTTTTACTGTTAATTTTTGCAATATATTTGAAAATCAAAGCTTTTTAAATAGCGATAGAAAAGATCCTTCAAATTTGGAGGTTGCAACTGTTACTCAAAGAGGGTTGAAGGTAGGATGAAATTTTCACATCAGAGGATGTCTTTTTATAATCTAAAATTGACGTGTTTCGGAATTTATAAATATGCACAGTAATTGAGGTAAGATCCTGTTCATGATAACTACACACAAGACTCTGAATTAAAACCAAACTGACACTTAAAAAGAAAAAGGATCTTAACGCTCCGACATGAGTGACTTTTACAAAGTCTACTTTAGAAACATTTTTTGTGGATCACTTCATATAATATACCGGGTGTTCAAATTAAAGTGTTACAGTTAAATACCGCCAAAAATATGCATTTTAGAAAAAAAAGTTTTAGACAAAAGTTTATAATTTTTTGGGGGAAACATTTTGGCTAAAATCATTTTTTTATAGCTGACCATAATATGGCCATATCGAGGTGAACTTTGTTTTTTTAAATTGGAACCCCATTTTTTGTTTACATATTCTTAAAGTACATAAAAAAATAAGAAACTTTTGAGAGAAATATTTTTTTTATTGGACTTTTACTTTTTGAGTAACAGCTATTTGAAAATTTTGCTGGGCGAAAAAAAAGGTTGTCCATATTATGGTTAGCTATAAAAAAAGATGTTTTCTCCACGAAACTATAAAACGTTTTATTTATAGAAGGCGGTATTTAGCTGTAACACTTTAATTTGAACACCCGGTATATAAAAAAATCAACTTTTTAAAATAACCCAAACAAGTGAAATTTTTGAAATTACTCTTGCCAACACCGCACCAAGGTATATCAATTGCCATTAGGGATCAACCGATACCGATATCAGTATAGAATAGAATTTAATCGTCAATAAAGTATTTTTCATTTTACATGCTTAAAAAAAACTTATTAGACTAGACAATTTTCACACAATACCACCGTACACGTCCACACAAAGTACATTTGGCAAGGTAAAATGCAACAAAAATAAACTTTCTGCTCTTTCTGGGGTTAGACGATTTCTTGTTCTTTCATATTCAGTACCAGCTGAAGAGAATAACCACACTTCTTGGTGGGGGTGATAAGTATATTATTGCACATATATATATATATATATATATATATATATATATATATATATATATATATATATATATGTATAATAGTGGAAAAACAATCAAAGGATCTTCAATTTTTGATATTGTCTCTAATTATAAGTTCACCTTCAATTTTATTTATAACATCAGTATCAGCCCTCATCCTATATGATGGTGATTTTCTTGCTTTCATACCGGAATCTGAATCTCTTGGTTTACCTGTTTTGATTTCTTAGGAAGGAGTATCATCATCGTCGCTCACATTGGAGCTATTATCTTCTCTTTCTATCGAGGTGGGATCCTATCCATTACTTTTGAATATTTCGTTTTTAAAATCTGTATGGGTTTGCATACAATAAAGCATTGTTGAAAAAACATTTTTTGAACCTTGGGTCTAATAAAGTGGCAAAAAGACGTTTTCTGTAAGTGACGTAATCTGTGCATTTTTTATTTAAAGAGTATTTAAGCCCATTTTTAGTAGTCTACACCCTTTAAAACCCAGCTCCTTCAGCTTTGTGAAGATAATCCGACCGCACGAACTGCCAAGCTGTATTCCATTAAGCCAGTTTACAGAACGTCAAATATGTTGTGTTATTTTTACGTGTTTGCAGTGTTTTTATGGGTATAGCGTGCTAAATGGTAATTATATATCAGAAATATTTTAGACAATTTTCATAGATTTTTGTCAAATATTTACAAAATTTTGAGTAATGAAACAGAATTAAATGACGTCAACATAAACAAATGCAATTTATCTGATATTGTAATTTAAAAATTCATCTATATTATAGGGTTTTATTTCTAATATAATATCCTTCACTCTCTTCTTAAATCTCTTGGTACTCGCTATGATTTTGTTAATACTATCTGGTAATGTATTAATTTATGAATTGGATAGTTTATATTTTTTGTTCTCGTCTCATATCCATGTGGAATGTAGTACGAAATAAATTAATCTGTTATTGTTCTTCAGTTTTCCAGTGCTCTGTAATGCATAGTATTTTACATGTCTTCCAGAAAATGTTCTAGTATTATTATACTGTTGCCTATGAATCTTACATTTTGATGTAGTAAACTGAAACTATTACTCTTACAATTATTGTTTGTACTCTTCGAAATGTTTGTCATACCTGCAACTGGATTTTTTATAATAAATCTTGAGTTACTCATATTTGCTCTAATTTGATTGATTATTGACTATTACCTTTTCTTGGTATGAGTTATATTTTCTGAAGTCAAAACATTTCAATGTGACACTCTTAGGTCATGTTGTAGGCTTATAAATGTATTCCTTGAAATTCCATTCAATCCCAAACATAAAACATTTCTTCTGAGTTTCACTGGTCCATGATCATGTTACATCACCTTCAGCTTTGATAAGGGCAATTATTCTTTGGAACATTGCATTTACAAGCTAGTGCATATTTCTCAAATATTTGCTTTTAATTATGGCACTGATCTTGCAGGTGCAGCACGCAAGTGCTTTTTCATTTAATGCCATAATGTATCTTGACATCCATTCTAACAGAGAAGTATTATTATCATTAAACCATTTTAACGCTTTTTTATGTATAACATTTTGCTATTCAAACATTTTTTAAATTGAATTAAAAGTTTAAGTAAATGTGTCAATTCGAACGGGACGTGGCTCGTATACTTATATCTTTATTTTTTAATGTCAATTTGTATTGCTTAATATTTATAATAAAAATGTATGGCAGATATATCGGTAATAACAGATACCGTATCGGCCACAAAAAAATCATATAGATCAATCCCTGATTGCCATAATGATATTTCTTCTCTATTATATTTTAAAGTTTGTACTATTGACGTGTGTAAAAAATTTTGCCTTTTAATAACAAGAATAAACTACTCTACTATTAAATATACAAGTTCATGGGCTTATTTTAAATTCCTTGTCATTTTCGCTATAAGTTGATTCAAAAGTATGGCTTTTAACACATGGAGGGCTTATTTTTCCATAATTATTTTTTAATTAGGACAATTAGCTACTTTTAAAAATGAATGTAATTGCCACATCCCTTGGTAAAAACTTATATTCATAATAGAGGGAGTATCGCTTCTATACATGTTCCCATTACTAATAGTTTCAGCTAATTTATCAATAGTTTTTTAATGTTTATTTCATTGATCAAATTGTTGCTGATTATAATAATCAAATATTTATAACATCTATTTATACTTAAATTGATTAATGATGTACATTCTTTGTATTCATTTTCTAGCAGTGTGTCATCTGTTTATATATGTATAGCACATTTAACAGAATATCGCTGTGCTAGAACAATACTAGGACAACCTGAAAAATGGCAATTTTGCATTAGACAGATCATTAGGATGTAAAAAAATTATCTTTCTGGTACTTACAAAATATATACAGCAAGATTTGAATAGTTTACTGGGTTGGTGAAAACAATTTTTCATTTTTTAAAGATAGTAGAAAATTACATATTTGCTCTAGAATAGTAATGCATAAAACTTCTTTCAAAAGTAGCAAAATTGTGGGACATGACCATGTTTGTGGATTATGAATAAAACATATTCTAAGGGACAGAGAAGGGTATAATCCACACCTATTTCAATATTCTTGCTTTGTTTACAAACTTATTTACATATCTTAAAAAGCTAAAATAATTCAACTTATTTTATTGCAACTGAACCCAAAAAATGTTTAATCATTAGTTATATAAAATTTAACTAAATTAGATATAATTTCACTAAATTAGATGTAATAATTTTCAATAAATTCCAAAACCTAGTTAAGTTGGATATCAAGTATTTTGTACTAGATGTGGCAACAGGGCTTGCATTCTGTACATTGTTCATTATCAGCGTACAATGGCTTACATATATATTCATTGATAACATTGTTTTTTAGGGTCGTCAAATCCTTTAGTTTATCCCTTCCCTTATCTCTCACCACATGTCTCTTCACTCCCGGATCTACAACTGGACCTGATATGTGATAACAATGTCGGAATCACAAATATTATAGTTTATCAAATAATAGCTATATCTCCTATTACCTCTGTTGTGGATATTTAAGTTGAGGAAAATTGTGGAAAATTCGAGGGAAAATTAATTTAATAGATAAATATATAGGTAGTTGTGATTAACTTATTACAAACAAATGACATATTTAAAAAAACTGTTGTTTCTAAAAAATAGAAATGATTGATCATAAAGTAGGTACTTGAGAAAACTAAAAAATGATCATGCCAAACAACAATATCAACAAAAATCAAGAAACATTAAGTGATATTTATAAAAAAAGAACAACACATACATAAATACTAATTATGTTATTGTCCAGAGTAACATGTCCCAACTGTAACTATCTTTACAGGTGGTTTAATGGAATTTTAAAATTTACTTACTCTATGGCGCCTGCTGTCCTTCCAGACCCTTGCACAGTAGCTGAACCCCATCTCTGTTCTTGTTCATCTACATCATTAACAAAATCTGGATCAGTTTCCCATTCATCATCTTCGGTATTTACATTTCCAATATTTATTTGATGTCCTGCGGCTGCTTTCCACATTTTAGGTTAGGTATTTCGAAACTTAATAGCAAATAAACTTTTAAAACATAAAATATTAGTAAAGTGGGATTCTAAAACTTAAAACCATTAAATTAAAGCTTATATTTAATTTAAAATTATTTATCAAGTCAAGATAAAGGCCAACACCCGGAGATATGTGACACATTTCAAAAACTTGACATTGACATATTGACAATGACATTTTATTTCAACTTTGGTGGTTTTACGAGATAGGAGAATCGATATTTTTATTTTGAAATAATTCCAGTTTGATTCGCGGAGCCTGTCGGCGACCAATGCTAGCCACTACATAGGATAGCCGAGTTCTCCGATATCTTTCCCGTAGCGGCGAAGCCGTTACGTCATTATCAGTCAACTTTCAGACGCAGATCATTTGAAATGTACAGAGATACATCATCTTTGTTTAACTTTTGTTTATATAAAAAATAAACTTTTTATTTGTAAATATGATTAATATAACATAAATATATGACAATTTTTTTATTAAACAAATAAAAAGGTACCTACAAGAAGAGGATAAATATGAAAAGGTTTTATACTTTTCACAATATAGATATAAATTTTAAAAAAAGAGATTTACCTACCTACTTGTATTATTTATTAATTTATAATATAAATGAAAAAGTATAAACAAATGGCACATTATTGGTTATTAAAAAAAAAATATGCAGAGGTAAACACTTTTCCTAAAAACTATTTTTTGAAAACAATTGCTGCGTTTGAGAATCCACATCGGATGCATCTGAGATGAAAAAAATCTTTGATCACGTGATTCAGTATACGTAAATGTAATGGGACAGATGTGTCCGATGTGGATAAAAAAACGCTCGAGATGTAAAAAATGCATCTGATGTGGATTCTCAAACGCAGCAAATAAGACACTATCAATAATACAACATTGAAACCACTATTTATAGTTACAAATGCCGCGTTTGAGAATCCACATCGGATGCATCCGAGATGTAGTAAATCTTTGATCACGTGATTCAGTATACGTAAATGTAATGGGACAGATGTGGCCGATGTGGATAAAAAAACGCTCGAGATGTAAAAAATGCAGCCGATGTGCATTCTCAAACGTGGCAAAAAATATACCTAAATATTAAAAAAATAAGCTGTCAGCATATGAAAAAAATTATTAAATAATATTACGAAAAAAATTCTTGATAATAATTGTTGTGTCACACATTAATAATTAAGATTAAAATTTGTAAAGTATAAAGTATACAGGGAAAATAAAAAATGATTTATGGTGAAAAGTAAAGCACTTTTAAATTTCAATACAAAGCAAAATATTAATTGAAAATGTTTATAGGAATTAAAAAATATGCTAAATCATTGTACTTATTTTTAAGTGATTTCGACTTACTTTTTTAATAAGGGCCGATTCCACCGTTGTGTTAAACGAAGTTTAAATTACTAAGCGACGATTAAAATTACATTTTTACATAACAATGTCAAGTTAATCTTGGCTTAGTAATTTAAACTTCGTTTAACACAACGGTGGAATCGGCCCTAAATGAAACAAAACCAATGATAGGCTATTGAAATTTTTTGAATTTTACAAATTTGTTGCTTGATTATGGATTTCCAAGTGATGCAGACATTTTTATAATTTTTTTTTTTTTTGTAAAACTAATAAATGCTAACTTTTTTAATTTACGAATATTTTATCATCTGTTTAAGAGAAATATTTACCTTTATTTTTTACTATTCCAAAGCCTAGTTTTATAATATTACTTGAGGTCTTGAGCATACTTTTTAAAATAAGAATTTCCATTTTTAAACTCAGAAATCTGCCCAGGCATTTTTATCTAAAACAACAAACAATGATTTAGAAAATTATGTTTTGTTTTATTGAAAAAATCTATTGAAATGTTCCAGAAAAAATTAGTAGCAAAAATGTACAAATATATACTAATCACTAAAACAAATTCGAAAACATAATACTTCTATTCGCTCCGTGTGAAGTCATGGAAAGGGAAGCAAAAGCGATACTAGCGCTAGCTGCGGATAATTCGTGCATTTTAGGGCGATATTTTGTAATTTTGGCATATCAAATACACGTATACATTTTACTTTTTTTTCAAAAAGTAGGTGAAAACAATACAATAAGCAACCGGAGTTGCTGTGTTGAAAATTGTACAAATACTAGCAAAAAAACAGTGAAACTTATATAAAAAATTTCAGTAGCAAAGTGGAAATTAAATCAAAGAAATAAATGGATAGATATACAATAAGAAGAAAAATTACCTTTATTTTTGTAATAATAACCGTAATGCTGCAAATAGTAGACATCAGAAACTTGAAAGGTTTTAAATCAACAATAAATTATCATTTTACCATGTTCTTTAATATCCCTTATTCTTAAATGTTCATTCAGCAAGGACTAGATTTCAAGATTTCTGCCTTTGATTATTATATGTGGTTGGAACGCAATTTTGTAACTTACTGATGGGAAATCAGTTTTAATCATTCATTCTATGTTTTCTTTCGAACAAAAATGAAAATATAAGTAATGATCCTTTTTTTATACATTTTAACTTCACGCTATTATTAAATGGAATTTTTTTTATTTTGACAGTAGAGTAATTCTTCAATGAAAACTTATTAGACTTAGGCAACTTCTCATACAATTTCCAGTAAATACTGTTACCTGCCTATATTTTATTATTCATTTTTATCGATTATACATAATTTTCTTTAATTTTAGCGATAAAAATATATAATAATAATATATTAATGTTTTACTTGTTTTACAAATCCATATACTTTTATTAAAACTACCATATATACTTTTTAATTACGAATTCTATTAAAAGTTGCATTTGTCAGTGTACGCAGAAATAGTCCATTAGTATCAAAACGAATTGGCGCTGCTGTCGCGCACGGAGCGAATAAGTTTATTTACTTAGGACCGATTTCACCGTTGTGTTAAACGAAGTTTAAAATGACATTTTTACATTAACAATGTCATTTTAATCTCCGTATAACACGACGGTGGAATTGGCCCTTAAAAACTGTTGAAAAACACAAAATATTAATAATTCGAGGTTTTTATGAATTCATTCACTATAAAAACGCATAAATGATCTATAAATTCTCTAAAAGCTATTAAAAAACACAAAACCACAACGTAAACACCCAAATTCTGTACTAATGGGACGTCATCACCGCACGGTAAATAACAGAATGGGGTTTCTTGTGAAACTAATCTATCCTCTAGTACCTATATACTACTTGAGCTCTCATTGACATATTGTTTGTTAAATATCGATACTTTCTTTACGATACCGGTATCGATTCATTTTTTCGATAACAAATCCAATTTTGGAATTTTGAGACAACGCGAAGGCGGGAATTTGTTTTTTGCTTTAGTTTTATTTTGGGTTAAGTTTTTATTATTATGCATTAGGATTATAAATGTATGAAACAGAAAAATGTACGGCGAAAACGGATATACACTTATAAAAGAATTAGCTCGAAGTGAAGATAATTTACCTCCATATAATGTAAGTAAAGGTAAATTTAATTTAAAATGTAATACGAGATAAACCGTTTTAGGCAGAATTAGTAACTCATATCTCTCGTGAAATTAAAAAAATATATGACGAAAATCAAATAGATGCGTAAGTAAAATGTACAACCACAGTAACTATGATGTAATTTATCTATCTGATCAGATTAATATACACTTATGGAAATTTTAGTCAACAATCGATAAACGAGAATATAGAGGCATCAATATTAAACACAATAAGAGTTCGTAATGCAGTCACAAAAAGAAATGTTAGATGTTTAATGGCTTATCATTTTAACAGACTAAAATGTCTTAGAACTATGAGGTGGGAGTTCGGAAGCATTCTACCAGCTGATATCAAATCCAATCTTAGCACAGCAGAGATAGAGTGGTTTTCAAAATATTCAAGACTTTTGGCTAATTATATGAGATCTATAGGTGATGTAATTTTTTATTATGAAGGGATTGAAATAATTTAATTTTCTTTAAAATATACTTTTTGTAAAAATGTTATTTGTAGGAGAGGATGGGGTAAATTTATCAATAGATTTAAAGCCTCCCAAAGCTCTATACATTGAAGTACAATGTTTGGTAGATTACGGAAAGTTTGACCTCAATGATGGAACTACTTTGTTATTAAAAAAAGACAGCCGACATTATTTACCCAGAAATGAATGTGAGGAGTTAATTAGACAAGGTGTTTTTAAACATATAATATAATTTTTCTAATTACATTTTTAATTTATGAAAATATATACTCTATTTTTAATTTCACTTCCCATAATTACTCATTCTGAAGTTGAGATTTCAACATGGCTGAATAAGACTGACCTGCAGGACATTGAACCAAGACATTTGCAAATATCCAAGGTTGAACTGAATTATAGACAAACCTGTCCAGTTTTCACTTGTCTTAACAATTTTTTTCTTCTCCCACATGGATATTAGCTTATCTACACACAGACTACAAAACGAAAAAGTATGATATTGTGTTCAACTGAACAAATATATTTCATATCCATTGTAGGTAGTGGTTAGATACTATCGATAGTTTATTACTTTCAAAAACTATCAATTGTTTTAAGTAATGATCGATAGTTTAAACTGTCATGTTTTTAGTATTTTTCAAGTTCATTTTCACGAAAAAAAATTAAAATTAAGAATTAACCAAATTTATAAGAACACACTCTGCAATTCAGCACTAGATTATAATCTGTTTTAAAACTTCCCTAACTAATTTTGTTATCGCCACCACAAGTATGCCTCCTGCCTTCTACTGTTTTTTTATTTCTCTGCTTCCTGTTTGTGCTGCCATATATTGCTTTATGAATTAATTAAAGAAACTTCCATGTATGATGCCCATATGCAATCACAGGGATTCCCGGATGCATTAATTCCGTATTATTTGCAACATTGGTATAGTTTCGATAGTACTATCAACAGTAACTCTTGAGACTATCGATAGAGCCGACTACCGATATTATCTGACCATTAATTGTAGGTAGTGAGAACACTGCAAAAAAATGAAATCCACCAATCACAGCTCATATTTTGGTCATCCAACTACTATTTTAAAATTTTGAATAAGTGCCAATTCAGTCAAACTAATTGCCCATATATTTTTTAGTTATTTAGATTAAATAGACATTAAAATTAGTTATTTTTGTGTAGAATCGTTAATAATAGCACTTGAATTTTTATTTAGTCCACATTTTGAAATAAATTTCAATCAAACTATATGAAACTAATTTAATTACTGGCATTCTGAATGCGGCTGTGGAGGTGAGGACACAGCATCTGTCTTTCACACAAGACACCCGGTTTCAAATCTTGTCTGAGGACAAATTATTTTTTTTTATGTTTATTTTATAACTTAGTAAAAGCCATAAACTATTTTAAAATTATTTATTTTGTCTTAAAAACAACATATTTTTTTTAAATTTGTAGATTTTTGTTAGTGGGTCGTACAAAAAATATACTGTACAACTTGAGTGGATTGTCCATATCCACTCTTGTTGCACAAACTACTTTTTCAATGCATATCCATAATCAATGACTAGATAAAATACTTTGAACCCATCTTTTTGGCTGAAACTAACTATTTGATGTTACCTAACAGTCACTATCAAAAAACTTAAAATTAATAATTATTTTTATTTCAAAAACGCTGACTACATTGGTCTAAATTATTTTGCAAAGATCAATTGGGAGCAATTTCTTACTGTTAATGATTTAAATGGAATTATTTTCTTCCACTTAAAAACTAAATAGCCCAAACTTTTCAAAACAGTTTTCAGTGACCTAAAAAAGCTCATTACTGAGAAAAAATAGCACAGATGATATACATCCTCTGGGAATACTATCAAGTTTCGATCTAGACATGTTACAGTAGTTAGTTATCTTGAGTTGACAGAACAATTCATGTTAATCCTAAATTTTTCTGGAGCTATTATAAACCTTAAACATTACTCTTTGTCTGGTACTATATTTTTAAATGATAAAGTAGGAGATATATCTAAACAGATCGCCTATTTATTTGCTGAACACTTCAGCAGTTTCAGCACATAGGGGTAAACTACAAATCAGACAATTAAAATCATTCCTGTGTGATAAAGCATATTACAACTTAGACGAATTCTTCTGTGATACAGTAATTATATGAAATATTGATTAAGAACAAAAATAATAATCATAAAAAAATATATATATACTATGTAAAAAATGCGTTTAATGTGTATTTATATATAAAATGTATATTTATGTACTGTGTCATGCTCTACAGCTCTAAAGGTACTTTTGAGTAAATAAATATTTCTTTCTTTCACATAATGCAGTTTCATAAAAGTTATATGTCAGTATCTCCAGAGGTAAACTGCACTATGTCATTCTTTTCAGTAGAGCAGATTGAATGTTGTTTGGACACTTTGTGTTCCATAATAATTGCATATTAAATTTCGACAACAAATGCCGTTAAACACCCAATACAAACACAATATTTTTATGTATTTTTTCTTATCTAACTAATAAAACTTCCTATTTTTTTTTATTTGCATAAATTTTTTTTTATGGCATATTTCTATGTTCTCATAGAAATTTTAGAGAATTTAACATGGAAAAGTCGACTTATTAAATATTAATTGAAAACTGTACTACTACTTCTATCAAATTTTCGTTACAAGTTTTTAATATTATACTGTCTTAATGATAAATTAAGCCATGGACAGATAAAATTCCTCCATACTTTCCAATTCTTTGAAAAAATAAAATTACTTCCACGACAACTGGAAAAGTAGTTATGTGGTGCCTATCTTCCAAAATTATAACAAAAGCAATATCCAGTATTATACTATCCATTATTCCTAAACTTTTTGAAACATTAATTGTGTCTTAGGTCTTTCTTGGTATTGTAATAATTAGAAAAAAAATTACCCTGAAACGATATTTTTTAGTACATCATAGATCTCTAGAGAGCAATGAAGGTTTTGACTTCTTTTGATAAAATTTCACTGTGCACAGAGATAACGGCGAAAATGATGGATTTCCTGAAAATCTGTTTCATAGGTTTAATAGAAAATTTTTCGCTCTACAACTTTGCTATGATTAAATTTTACACCAAAGTGCGTGGTTGTTATATAAAATTTGAAAAACCGCAAAATATATACATTTATGAAAACTGACAAAAAATATATTCGACAGAAAATCGTTTGTTCTTCAAAAAATGTAAAATACAAAAAAACGCTGATAAATGTATATATTATACCTTCTTCCGATCATTCTCATCTCTACGCATAGTGAAATTTTGTCAGAAGTCAAAACCTTCATTGTTATCTGGGTCTATATGATGTACTAAAAATTTCGGTTTAAAAACCTAATTCCGGTGGACTAATGGATTTTCTATAGGAAAATTACACTTATACTAATTGATGGTTTATCAGCATGATATTTTTTCCCAATTTGGTATCAATCTCCAGGTGGATTCAATTTATTCAGACTTCTATAGAGCCTTCAATTGAAGCATTCATTATAACTATTTAAACTTAATCTTTTAGGTTTTCCAGAACTCTTGCTTGCAATGCCTAAAATGTATTACTTATAGGTAGGATCCACTTAGTGAAAATTAGTTGTAGTACTTCAGGCCAAATTGTGGTACTTTCCGGTACACCACAGGGCTCTCACTTAGGGCCTTTGTTTCTACTATTCATGAATTACTTTTTACTTTTTGCCTGCGATCTAAAACTTTATTTGCCTCCTCTTAATGTGAATGATTGCCTTTTTCTACAAATTGATGTCAAAGTCCTCTATGGTTGGTCTGTGAAAAACTATTAATATCCCTAAATATACCTGTGAAGCAAATAACATATCTTCACCATCCTTTATCGACAAAACGCCTCAATTTGAAACAGACAAACCACTGCCTACATCTAGCGGACATTATGAAGCCACAACTACAGTTCCTCGACGGATTTTAATTATGGGGGACAAAAATGCTAGAGGTTTCGTAAGTATAATCAGGCAAAAAATATGACGTTAACTGTCAATGGACTGATGGAAATGCTGTTCGATGGGCGCATTAAATCATGGCTAATAAAAAACTTTACTAAAGATGATGTTATTGTTGTATTCACGGGGGTAGCGAATGCAATGAAAGATAAGCCTATACAAAATACAAAGACTATCCACGTCTCTTCTAAACAACTCTAACAATACAACGCTGTCCATTTATGGGGCACCTTATTTACATAGTGCTCGACCGATACTTAACAAAATAATTCAGAAATATGATTTTGACATGCGGCATCTACAAATATCAGATTTCGCACTTTATTCCTTCTACATCACATATTACGACAACACATAACTTTGTGCTTTAATCGAAATTTTGATTCCAACCAAATCTGAGATGTTGACAAGCACTGATTTCTGTGACTATGACAAGTAAAACTTGGCTTAATGAAAACTTCCACAGTCCTGAATTTTCTGAAGAAATGTATTAGAAAGTATATAAACTATAAAATGCTCAACTGTGAAGATGGAGGAGGAACTTTAATAGCTATACTTTATCTCACATTAACAGTTCTCTTATTGACACTCCTTCTTCAAGACATTTTGAAGATATTTGGATCAAGGCCACAAAATATACAACATTAAATTAATAATTGGATGTTTATATCTCCAAGTTCACCATTGGAACGCTATTTATCTTCTGTCCAGTTATGTGAATAACTTCAGAAAAAATATATCAACCATAAATTTTATTGTATGTGGAGACTTCAATCTTCAGCTTGTAGAATAGAAGCTCTAAGCATGGGCGTCGTTTGGAGGGGGCAAGGGGGGGCAGTTGCCCCCCCCCTGGCTTTACAACGCGTATGTCACAATGGTAAATTATGTGCTAAAATTTAGCCCTAAATTAAGTTATTAATTTAGTACTAAATTTAGATCTAAAAATATTTTTTCCCTTTGCAACGATACCAATTTTTAGTACTAAATTAAGTATAGGCTCACGCGCATTGACGTTTTATTACGTGAAATTAGCACAGAAATAAAATATTCTGTGTAAATGAGACACGTGAATTAAAATATGTTTTTATTATGACTTTAACACTAGTTGACTTTACAACAACAAAATGCAGCAATGCTACTAAAAACCACGAAAAAACACAATAAAACCTACAAAATCAAATAGAAGCGAAGTTTGTCCAAGGGGATAATGCAAAGTTGTC